AAACTGGAGGACATTATGCTAAGTGAAATAAGCCAGACACAGAAAGAAAAAATATTGCATGATCTCATTTATATGTGGAATCTTTTTTTTCAAGTCAAATACACAGAGATAGAGAATCAAACAGTGATGACAAGGGCCCGGTGTTGAAGGGAGAAAATGCAGAAATGCAGCTGAGAGGATACAGAGTAGCAGATATGTAGGATCCACAAGCCTAGAGATCAAAGGGACAGCATGAAGACTACAGGTTATACAATTCTACTGTACAAAGAGTAGAACAGACATTACTAGTAGATGAGCAGGGTGGAGGGAAGGGATAGGGAGAGATTTGCTGAAGGATACAAAACTACAGCTAGATAGGAATCAGTTCTAGTGTTCTAGAGCTCTGTAGAATGAGCACAGGTGACAGTAATATAGCATGTATTTTCAAATTGCTGGAAGGAGGGTATTGAATGTTCTGAACACAAAGAAAGAAGTGTTTGAGCTGACGGATATGTTAGTCACCCTGATGTAATCACTATACATCGTATGCATCGCTGTGTACCTCATAAATATGTATAGTTATGTCAATTAAAAAAAAAGCTTTAAAGACAAAAAAACTGCACTGTATTTAAAATTCCTGTGAAATGAGTAAATTTTAGCTGCTCTTGACACACAAAAAGAAACCCAAAATGATGCATAGCTATGTGAAATGATGGAGATAATTCACTTCACTATAGTTACCATTTTACTGTCTCTATGTGTCCCATAATATCATGTTGTAAATGCTAAATATACAAACATTTATTTGAAAAATAATTTTAAGACAAAAATTATGTACTCAACCAAAAAATAATAAACTATTAATACAGCTACAAAATGTATAAATCTCAAAATAATTATACATGAATAAATCATAAAATAATTACGCTAAGCAAAAGACATTAGGAAAAATATTTTATTTATATTATATTCTAGAAAATACAAAATAATATAGAGTGACAGAAAACACACATCAATCATTGTCTGGGACAGAGGAAGAGAGACATGAGAGAGGGTGATTATAAAGGGGCATGAGGAAATTTTCAAGGGGACAAATTTGTTCATCTTGATTGTGGCGATGATTTTACAGGTAAGTATATGTTTTGAATCATATCAAGTTACAGGCTTTAAATATGTGCAGTTTATTGTATGTAAATTATACTTTAATAAAGTCATTAAAATGTTCAGTAAAAAATTATATAAAAGGTTAATATATTCTTAAAAGTTAGACAATATAGAAATATAAAAATTGAAAATCCCCTTTCCCCAAATTCAGTCCCCTCTCCAAAGGTTTACAGGTGCCAGCATGTGAGTATTGTTCTCCAAACCCTATATTATGTAATGACAGAAATATATATCCATGGATAGAAATGTACAGGTTTATGGTATTTAAATTTAAAATCATAAATAGCAGTACTTATTGTTTTGCTTAAGACTTTTACTCTTCACAATGTTCCCATTTCTCCCCATTCTACTCCCACCTGTCTCCTCCACTTTCAATATGGGCAGAACGGTCTTTTCTTTTTTTCTTTTCTTTTCTTTGTTTTTGAGACAGAGTTTCTGTCACCCAGGCTGGAGTGCAGTGGTGCGATCTTGGCTTACTGCAATCTCTGCCTCCCGGGTTCAAGAGATTCTCCTGCCTCAGCCTCCTGAGTAGCTGGGATTTCAGACATGTGTCACCATGCCCGACTAATTATTTTTGTATTTTTAGTAGAGACAGGGTTTTACTATGTTGGTCAGACTGGTCTGGAACTCTTGCCCTCATAATCTGTCTGCCTCAGCCTCCCAAAGTGCTGGGATTACAGGCGTGAGCCACTGTGCCCAGCTTAGAACTGTTTTTCTTTTTCTTTTTTTTGAGATGGAGTTTTGTTCTTATTACCCAGGCTGGAGTGCAGTGGCGCAATCTCGGCTCACCACAACCTCCACCTCCTGGGTTCAAGCAATTCCCTACCTCAGCCTCCCGAGTAGCTGGGACTACAGGTGCACACCACCATGCCAGCTAATTTTTGTATTTTTAATAGGGATGGGGTTTCACCATGTTGACCAGGATGGTCTTGATCTCTTGACCTTGTGATCCACCCACCCCTGCCTCCCAAAGTGCTGGGATTATAGGTGTGAGTCACCACGCCGGGACAGAACTGTTTTTCATAGGTCCTCTTAGAAGCTCTGATGTATATTAACATACTCACATTAAATATAACCTCTTGCTTATAGCGCATACTATTAAAAACTTTGCCTTAGAATATGCACTCTATTTTACTGTCTTTTGTTTTTCCTATGTTGCCCAGATTGGAGTGATCATAGCACACTATGGCCTCAAACTCCTGGGCTCAAGTGATCTTCCATCTCAGCCTCCCAAGTAGTTGGGACTGCAGGTACATACCCCCACACCTCACTAGCATGCATTGTTTTAACCATTGTGCCAGTGCTTCTCAAAGTGTGGTCCCTGGACCAGCAGTGTCAGCATCATTTGGGAATTTGCAGAAATGCAAATTCTGCGTCCTACTTTACACCTACTGCATTAGAAGCCCTGGGTGTGTGGGGGACAGCAATCTGCATTTTGACAAGCCCTCTAGGAGATCCTGATGCTCCCTCGTGCTACAGAACCACTGCCCTAAAGGACAAGCTTCTGAAGGGACCTGCTTCAGCCATGTGCTAATATGTTGTGTGGCCAGCCCTTGGTAGTATCTTGTTAGTCTAGCACCTTTCTGCTGAGTGGTAGAAAGTAATTTGAAGGCTTTTTTCCCCCTTACTTCCCAGCTGGGTGACCTGGGCATGGCTTTTGATCTCCTTTTGGTTTCATCGTTGGGAAAGTGAGATTGAAAACCCTCCCTCCCTGGGTTGTTGGAAGATCAGATGAGATCAGGCACTTAAAGTGTCTATATACAACATGAGGGCTTATGATGCTGAGAGATAGTAGGGTAATTAATCCTTTTGCATGCAACAGTCTTGAGGAATATAACTTCCATTTTTCTTTACCACTCTACCCATCTTGAGCTCTCAAGGGTACTAGCCCCTGAAATGTCATAGGAACCCTACCCGGTGTCCCCTTTCCCTCTCCCTCTCTCTTTTTGAGTCCCCTTGGGTCCCTGATCCATCCTTGTAACATTCTGTGACTGATTGCACTACTGTCAAGCCTTTCTTTGCTAAGAGCACTGCCCCCTACAGTCGCTTCTAGCTCTAAAATTCTTAGGTTTTGTATCTTAAAAAAAATAATAAAAATAAAAAAATCACATGCTTACAATGTGCCAGGAACTGTGCTAGTTTCTTATGGATTAATTGAGTCAATCGTCATTGCAGTTTTATGAGGCATGTAGGAGATGCTGTAGGTGCCCTTTCCGTATCTCCTTTACCAGAGCTGTTGCCCCATCCCCTAGCTGCAGTGAGTGTCACCTGCTACACTGTAAAGCTACTCTGTGACAGCCACAGCTGGGATGCAGAAGGCCCACCTACTTTTGTCAGTACACAGAGAGCAATACCATTCTTTACCCTCCTGGAACTCCTGTGGGAAGTCTGGGTAATTCTTTGCTTTAGTATTAGTATTCATCAGCATTATGATTTCAATATTTGACCACCCAGTCACAACAAAATTCAAGAATTCATTAAGTGGCACAAATGCTGAAAAATGAATTTGAAAGTTTCTTAACTTTGGAATGGAAATTGAAAAAATAAAATTTCTGTCAAGAAGGCCAGACACCATCAGGATACAACAGGTGGTGACTTAGGAGAGTGTCCCCCATAAAATAAATCAGCACTGGAGTGGAGCAAATGAAATGCAGCCACTGAAGCCAGAAAACATCAGCTCAAGCACAAAGGAAAAGTGCTGGGGCTTGATCAACACCACTACAATGTGCCTCGAGGCCATGCTATTGTTTTACACATTTCTTTTCTTTTTTTGAGATGGATTCTTGTTCTGTTGCCCAGACTGGAGTGCAGTGGTGCGATCTTGGCTCACTGCAGCTCTCACCTCCTGGGTTCAAGCAATTATCCAATTATCCTGCCTCAGCTTCCCAAGTAGCTGGGACTACAGGTGCACACCACCATGCCTGGTTAATTTTTGTATTTTTAGTAGAGATGGTGAATGTTGGCCAGGATGGTCTTGATCTCTTGACCTCATGATATGCCTGCCTCAGCCTCCCAAAGTGCTGGGATTACAGTTGTGAGCCACCATGCCCAGCTATTCCCTTCTTTTCAAAAAAATTATTTCTTATTGTGATTTTTGATAACTTGAAAGGAGGTAGTGATGATATAATATGGTTTGGCTTTGTGTCTCCACCCTAATCTCATCTCATTATAATCCTCATGTGTCAGTGTCAAGGGAGGGGTCTGGGTGGCAGGTGACTGGATCATCGGCAGGCGAATTGTGATAGTAGGGGTGTTCTCAGGAGACCTGATGGTTTAAAAGAGGGAGTTTCCCCTGTACTCTCTCTCTCTCTCTCCTGCTGCCATGTAAGACATGCCTGCTTCCCTTTCCCCTTCTGCCATGATTCTAAGTTTCCTGAGGCCTCCCAGCCACGTGGAACTATGATTCAATTAAACCTCCTTTCTTCATAAATTACCCAGCCTCAGGTAGTATAGCAGTGTGAGAATGAACTAATACAGCGTGAGAACAAACTAACACAGTGTGAGAATGAACTGATACACAATGAAACATTATATCAATAGTATATTTGTGATCAATGGAGTATGTTTAAAGAAAAAAATGTGACAAAGGTAATAGATACATTCACTTTGAGGACTCAGAAAAAATGTTGCAAGTAATTCAAGATCCTGTCTGTGACTAAATAGGACGGCTCTGCTACAACACTAGGACTCTGGCACCTGGGAGAGTGCATGAGAGATGGTGAATTTTGCAGGGACAGAGACCTGCAGAAAATATCTCAAAGAATGCCAGAGAGTGCCTTCTGCCTGACAACCTGCAGACAGGATCACAATGACAGGAGTGTCAGAGCACATGTATGAGACCCAGGTACACTCCTCTTCTTGGAACAAAATGCTACTCACACAGAAGCTCATCAAAAGAACAGGCTTTAAACACATTATATCGCTTTAACATACAGAAGACTTTTCCAATCATGTGCAGTGGTCAATGGGGTACCATAAATGAGTTATAGGGGGTGCTGAGTGCCAGATCGGTCCTGAGGTAGCTAGAGCAGTCCTGAGGTTTTTTTTTGTTTTGTTTTTTTAATCTCTAGTTAGGAACAGCCTGTTCTTTGATCCCAAGGAGCTACAAAATGTTATTTCCTTCACGTTATGATGTGAAAAAGATTGGGAAGCACTAGGTAAGTAGGGTGCTCATATAATTTCTTTGTTCAGATGGAGACACTTTTGAGAATGAAAGGGGCTATATTAACATTTTACCGGAACAACAGGCACACAGTGGAACTGTCCCGGGTAAAGTGGAATGTATGGTGTGGTGGGCAGAATAACAGCCCCCAAAGATATTGGCTAATCTCTGGAACTTGTTACCTTAGATGGCAAAAGGGAGTGATGAAGTTAAGGATGTAGGTGAGGTGATTATCCTGGGTTATCTGGGTGGGCCTAATATAATCACAAGGTTTTTTCATAGGAGGGAAGCAGGAGGGTCAGAGAGGAGAGAAGTTTCTATTCTGTTGGCTTCAAAGATGGAGGAAAAGGCCATGAGCCAAGGAAATGCAGGAGGCCTCTAGAAGCTGGAAAAAAACAAGGAAACGGATTCTCCCGAGTGCCTCCAGAAGAACACAGCCCTGTCACACCTTGATTTAGGACCTCTGACTTCTAGAACTATAAGAGAATACATTTGTGTTGTTCTAATCTATTTGTGGTAATTTGTTTTTGTTTGCTTGCTTGTTTGTTTTTTGAGATGGAGTTTCACTTTTGTTGCCCAGGCTGGAGTGCAATGGTGCAATCTTGGCTCACCACAAACTCTGCCTCCTAGGTTCAAGTGATTCTCCTGCCTAAGTCTCCTGAAGAGCTGGGATTATAGGCATGCACCACCACACCCAACTAATTTTGTATTTTTAGTAGAGACATGGTTTCTCCATGTTGGCCAGGCTGGTCTTGAACTCCCAACCTCAGGTGATCCACCTGCCTCAGTCTTCCAAAGTGCTGGGATTATAGGAGTAAGCCACCGCACCTGGCTATTTGTGGTAATTTGTTATAGCAGCAACGGGAAATGAATATTAGTTATAATCTAAAAGAAATTTAGCTCTATTTTTATGTCATTATTAAAGTTATGAAGGTAAGCATTGAAGAACCAAAACGGTAAAATAATTATATTGAGAAGTAAAGTAGGGGAGTTTGAGAGGTACAAGTTTTCATCTAATATGTTGGTCAATTGAGCAATATCATTACAGGTATATTGCATAGAGAAAAGAACTAAAGAACTAAAACAAACCACTGATTTTACTATACTTGATCTCAGCCAAAAGACTGAGAAGTGATCAAAGTGCTAATTTAAAAAAAAAAAAAAAAGTCCTAAAAAAAATAGTTTTGGATAGAGAAGGTCAGATAAGGAGACTGTAGCTTTTCATTATAAATCTTTTGGTTAAAACTAACTAAGTTTAACCATAAGCATGTTATTTTAAATGTGAACATTAATTGTTAAAGTAAGATTGTATTAGGGGACACTTTCAAGAGCTTATTGGGCTCAGGTTCTCCAAAGCTCCAGCCCCTTTGTACCTGACATGTTCACAGCTTCCACCCAGCTCAGAACCTCCCTAAACGCTTACTCAGCCAGCAGCTTCCTTGCTGTCAGTCTTGTCACGAGACAGGGCCAACTTGTAGATCCTTCTGAAGCAAGACAGGAAAAGACACCATTGAATAAGGCATAGTTCCAGGGTTGGGCCCAGGCTCTTTAAGAGCTTTGGAGCAAACTCCCAAAGCCCCACCTGTAGGGTGGGCAGACCTCAGGGTTAACTCACAATGGGAACAAAGGGCCTGGGAGTGCTCCAATGAGAGGAGCACCATCCATTGCCACTGAAAAAGCAATTATGTAGGGGCCAAAAAAAAAAAAAAAAAAAAAAAAAAAGCCGGGACCAGCCCTGCCACTTACTAGCATGTCCCCTTTAGTTTCTCACTGATGAAATGAATAGGAGAGGTTCAGCTCTCAGATCTTCCAACTCTGCGAGTCCTCCTTTTCCCAGTTTCAGCTACATTCCTCCTACCAAACGTGACTGGATAGGTCCTAGGTCAGCCATATTATCATTATAGATGATACTGTGGCTTTAGCATTTAGAATTTCTTTGAGATGGTCTATGGCAATTCATTCATTTTATTTGTGGGAAACTCAGCCTCAATGAGACAGAAGCATTTGTTCAAGGTCACAATTTATAACCAGTGTGAGAATCTGTGGGTTCTCCTGTGACTTCTCACATAGACTCTAAGATTCCTTGGTCACAATTTGTCACATGGTTGTGTGACAACTTGTGATCCCTCACTTAGACCCTTGGAGCCCTTGATCGTGATTTACAATATGAAGGTGCAGAATGGTGGATATGGCGGGGTGGCCCTCAACACACATTCCAACCTCCCTTCAATCTGCCTTTCAGTACTGTAGAGGATGGAAAGAGTATACTAGTACTGTATTATCTCATTAATATAAAGGTCAAGAGCAGGCAAAACTAATTTATGGTGATAAAAATCTAGACAGTGATTATTGGGTACATGAGGTGAGTGATGTTTGACTGAAAAGAAGCAAAAAGGAGCTTTCTGGGTAAGTTGCACCAGTGTATTCATTTGTGAAAACTCACTCAACTGTACACTTAAGATCTGTGCATTTTATTGTATATAAACTATACTTTAAAATTTTCAAATAACTACCTTAGAAGAATGTTGCTAAGATTAATTCATATATTGCCTATTACACAGTAGGTGCTCAATAAACAGTAGTAGCAGGGGCAGTAGTCATAATTGATATTACAATTAATATATTGGCTTTCTTTTGGTAAAATTTGCCTGCAAAATCTTTCCTAATCCTTTTACTTTCAAACTTTCTGCATTCCTATGTTTTAGATATGTCTTTTATAAACTTTTGGTATTTTAAAGATTATTCTATTTTTATTAATTGTATTAATAATTACAGATATATTTACAATCATATTTACCTTATTATTTTATTCTATAGCTTCCCCCTATTACGTTTTTTTCTCTTTTATTGAGCTTCTTTTGGAGTTTTCCCTTATTCTATTTTTGTCTTATTCTCTAAAAATTTGGAACTTAAACACTTTATTTCTATTCTCTAGCTGTACCCTAATAATTTTAACATGTGTAGATTAATAAAGTATTAACAAAAAGTTAAGCAATACTTTACAGCCACTGAAGAAAATATAGTCACTTTAAAACATCTCTTCATTGCATTTTATTTTTCATAATAAAAATCTCACATAGTTTCTTTTCCTTATACTCTGTAATACTTTATTATTCAAATCAAGATTTACCCATACATTTACCTCTCTTGGGTTCTTTATTTCCTTTTGCATATCAGATCTTCTGTCTGAATATGGAATTTAAAATTTCCTTTATTGAAGGCCTTTCCAGTTTCTTTTGTTTGAAAATGTCTTTACTTTGCACTTAATGGATAGTTTATATCCTCTCAGCACATTGAGGTGATCGTTCCAGTTTCTTGTGGCTTCCACTGCTGTTAAGAAAACAGCTGACAGCCTGACTGTAAATCTTTTCTTTTCATTTTGAAATCTCTTTTACACTCCAATCCTTTTGAATGTAATACTTTTCCCCAATCTGGCTGACTTTAGATCCCTTTAATGTTCTGCAGTTTCACTGTAAAGTGTCCAGATATGTGTGTCCTTTATTTATACTGCTTGGAATTTACTAGGTCTCTTGAATCTGTGGATTGGTGTCTTTCATCGTTTCTGGGAAATTCCCAGCCATTATCTTTTCAAGTATTTATTCTACCACATTCCCTCTATCCTTTCCTTCTAGGAGTCTGACTTGATGTTGCCTTAGTCCGTTTGGGCTGCTATAACATACTACCATAGCCTGGGTGGCTTAAACAACAAACATTTATTTCTCACAGTTCTGGAGACTAAAAAGTCCAGTATCAAGTTTCCAGCTGACCTTGTGTCTGGTGAGAGCTCACTTCCTGGCTTCCATGTGGCTGACTTCTCATTGTATCCTCACATGGCAAAGAGCAGAGAGGACACAAACTCTCTCATGTCTCTTCTTACAGAGCACTAATCCTAGTTATGAGGGCTCTACCTCATGACCTAATTACTTCCCAAAGATCCTCCTTCATAATACCATCACATTGAGGGCTAGGACTTAAACAGCCCATAATAGATGTATTTAGGTCCTTCATTCAATTTTCCATTTTCCCTCACTTTTCTTTTAGATTTTTCATCCCTTGGTCTCTGTGGACTATGTTATGAATACTTTTCCCAGATCTAGTTCTGACTCACTAATTCTCTCTTCACTGTGTATAATCTCCTATCAACGTCATCCATTTCAACTAAAATTAACCAAATTTTAAAAACTCAATTAACATTGACTTTTAAATTTCAACTATTATAATTCTATTTTCTGAAAGTTTTATTTAATTAATTTTCAAATACACTTGATTACTCTTCAGAGTATCTTTCTCCTTGCACATATCTTCCAGTACATTTTTTCCTGTTACTAGACATGTTAAAAAGAGCCACTTTTAGTTTGTATCATGCATTTCTCTTTTGCAAAGGTCTTGTGCTCTATTTCAGTTTTCTATTCTTTTACTGTTCCTTGGAATTTTATTTACAGAAACTCTTTGAGATCTGAAATGAAGGTGAGTTCCTCTCGAAAGACTTTGTGTTTGCTTCTGCTGGCAGCTGGTGCCTATCAATCCAGGATCATGTGAACTACATTCTGGGCTGGAGGTATTCTGGATCACCAAGTTAGATAAAGTGGACTGTGGGACTGAGTGAAGGTTGAATCCTCATTCCACATTTTAGCCACAGTTTTACTCCATCCTTTGGGCACTAGGTTCAGGGAAGCCACTTTTCTTCCAAGTCCCTTGATTGGGAGGTAAGGCGGGAGTGGGAGTAGGGTGTGAGTGGGATATTGGTTTATTTCTAGTTCACTCTTACTCTGAAGAAGAGGTCCTCAGCTCTGAAATTTGTCTCATGCTCCATAAGGCCATGATATTAAAGCTCAACTTCACTGGGTTCAGCAAATACCCATGGGAGTAAAGCTGTAGTCGTATTCCACAGAAATTCTTTGCTCTCTTGATCTCCCCTCAATATTATTAAGATTTTTTTTTAAAATATGTTATTCGGCCCAGGGGTGGTGGCTCACACCTGTATTCCCAGCACTT